ATGTTTACCTGATGGGTACAATGTTGCTCTTGTGGGGTTTCTGCTGCTCCTGCTGTGATAGTGCTGGAGGGCTGGGCTGTGCTGATCCGAGACTGTAGACATTAAATGCAAAGATTGGTGAAGGTGCTTGGAACCATAAGGAAACAAAATAAACTCGGCTCTGCCTGTGACTCAGTTTGCCTCTCTTACTCTTTCATCTCCTCATCTCATCTATCACTCTCCACTTGATGTCCATCTGACAACAAGGCACAGTTTGCTATTGCATTAATCTATTATTTAATTATCCACACTTCACAAATCTTGCACCTAATCCATAACAAAGTAATGATAGACAATGTTCTAGAACTATTCTTACGAAGCATTTATAGACCGTGTTATATCATGAATAATAATTTTTAAAAATCTATACACATAAAAAAAACACTAATATAATCTGTTTCTTAATGTGTTTTCTTTAACATACGGTGTGTCTTTTTTAATATCATAATCATAATAATCCATAATTATGCTAATATGCGTATCATCATATTGCATATGCAAGTCCCTCAGAAAGGCAGGAAAAGCCCTGTAACTTACTTTAAAACTAAATATGTTCCCTAAAACCGTGGACAGAGCTACAGACCCATGACAGTTGTCTCTTTAACATGTTTTAATACTTTGTATCTTGTCCCATTTAATTTGAACAAGCCTCTTAAAAAGTCGGTGATCACAGTCGGCCTCTCTCGGTTTTTATTACCACTGTTCATTTTAAAGCTCGGTTTTTAAAACCTTATGATGTAACTACAGCCCATGCAGCAGTATAATAATGACTAATAATATATTGGAGTGGGCCTGATACTCATGTCCCATGACAGGCCCATGACAGTGCTGCCATCAAATTGCCTTTCTTTGCTTTGACTCTGTCTCCAACAAGAGGTGAAGCAGATGTTCTTACATTAATGGAATCACTAATAGAACAGATCACCTGAAAATGAGTAATGAATTTGCTGATGTCTTTATTAATGAATTGTACTGATTAGTCTGCATTTCTCTCAGCTGAGCTGTTTCTGAAAGAAGAACTCGTTCATGTCACAGAACAGACGTCTTTATGACATAATGTATCTGGCATGCAGAGAATCATGTTCATTTAGATGTTGCTGACATTTAAAATTCAGTTTTGCTTTTTATTTTGAAACATTTTTATTTTATTTCAATATTTTTTTAGTCTGAATAAATCAAACTTGCTTGATAGGACAGCTCTCAGGTAACAAGATGGCAAATAAGTCTTTGACTCTGAAATAAAACAGCAGAGTTCTTTAAGACAGAGCTCTGCTGCTGATTGGACAGAAACCAAATAAGACAGTTTCTGTTCAGTTGAACATGTTTCAAACTGGAACCAGTCAAACTTGATTTCATTGCAAAGATGCCATTTTCTCCATTCAGACAAAACATGTTCAGAGCTGCTTTTGCTGCACAGCTCATGTTGTGTTGTGACTCCTCTCAGTCCCCCAGGTGGAGGTGGATTCAGGGGAGGCATCTGTCCTGCTGCCCTGCAAAACTACTATAAACCTGCCTAAAGATGCTAAAGTGAAGTGGATGACCAGATTCAACAGGAAGGTCCACGTGTATGAGAACGGATCTGACCAGCTTGAAGATCAGGACAACCATTACAGAGACCGAACACAGATGAATAAAGACCTGCTGAAAACTAGAGACCTCAGTCTGACCCTGAAAGACCCCACAGACTGGGACACAGACATCTACACCTGCACCGTCTGCAACAGGGAGGGGAAAAAAATCCTGATGAAACAAGTGGAGCTAAAAGTCAGAGGTCAGTGCTGCTGCTGGGTGTGAGCTGCAGAAGAAGAAGAGATGATGAGATCTTCATGAACACAAATCTTAGTTTGTGCTTTAACTGTTTATGAAATTTGTTGTCCTTCAGTCTGTCAGGTGGAGGTGGAGGAGGGGGCGGAGTCTGTAGAGCTACCTTTCAAAACCACAAAAGAGCTGCCTGCAGATGCTAAGGTGGTGTGGTGGAACAATGATGACAGGAAGGTCCACGTGTACAAGAACGGCTCTGATCAGCCTGGAGAACAGCACCAGGTTTACAGAGACCGAACAAAGATGAAGAGAAGATCTCTGCTGAAGCCTGGAGACCTCAGTCTGACCCTGAAACAGCCCACAGAGAGAGACAGTGGGAGGTACAGCTGTAGAGTCTACGGGGAGATCAAGAGATACAAAAGAGTGCTGCTCAGAGTCAAACATATGTGTGCGTGTGTGTGCGTGCGTGCGTGCGTGTGTGTGTCTCTGACTGTCTTGTGTCTCCTCTGCAGGGAGAGTTCAGGTCCAGGATCAAACAGGGGACATCAGGAACAGAAGCAGCTCCATTGATCCGACTCCTCTGATGGCTGATCAATCAGTTTGATCTGTGTGTTCTTTGATTATTGATCAGTGATGTCAGAGTGGAGTCAGTGTGATGTTGTTGTTGTGTGTTTGAGACTTTTAGTGTCCATGAAGGTCTCTGCTGCCGTAGATCCTCTGAACTGTGACAGAGGTCTCACTCTGGAGGAAACTCTCAGCACTTTCCAGCAGCTCCTCCATCATGGAGGACGTTCCCTCACTGTAACAGGTGGAGGAGAGAGGAGAGGAAGCACAGGTGGATCCTCTGAGGAAGACATTATTGTTATTACATGAGCGGAAACACAAACATACCATCATAGTAAAAATCCATCTCCATGTGTACGATCTTTGAGGCTCAAATCAGTCCAGTCAGATCCCGTTTTATCTAGGATGTCCCGTAAAATGAGCAACATAGGTTTCTGCAGTACTCTACCTTAAATGTCCCATATAATTACCGTTACCTGGAATGTCATTTTCTGACTAACAGCTGGCACTCTAGCAAATACCAAAACTGATTTGACTGCAGTTACATCAGAGGAGTACTTGTGTGTAGTCACATCTGTCAGTGATGCCCGTCACACACACCAGGTGTGAGGAGTAATACACGATTCTTAAAAATAAGGTGTTGTTTGGTCTGCGTAACATAATATACTGGGTAACTGAGACCTGTACTTACAATATTTTCTTTGACTATTTTTCTTTTTTGCTTATTTTTCAAGGTAATGCACATGTGATTTCTGTCATCATTTACTGTATTTTCTTTATTGATTTAGATGAGCTATTGATTGAACTGAATACCAACATTTTACTGCATTTTGACTTTAAGAATATAATCATACAGTTCAGCTGGCTGTGCATTGTGCTTGTGCCACACCAGTGTCCCTTATTTGATAGTTACAAAGTTGGTGACCCTACCTCTACCAGTGTGATTGTTTATATAAGACCTGCCCCGGCACTATAAATGCAAGCAATTTAATTATAATTATAATCAGGGAGGTGTACTTATCTTATTTTTATAATAATGCCCATTAATGTCCCTGTTCAGTCAAGAGAATAAAAATACCCTCTCTGATCCACTGTGGTTTTTCTTCTGTGGTGTTTCTGGTGGAGCAGCAGCTCCTGACGGTTGAGGATGAGACCAGAGTTCCTACAGCTTCAGGAAAGTTGGATTTAAAACTTTAACATCAGCTGTGTCCTTGTTAGCAGCAAGCTAACATTTGTAGGCTAACGTGCTTGAACCTGCATTCTTATGTATGAAGTTTGAAACACTTCCTACACAACCTACAACACACTGAGTCAGGATAAAGAGATATCCAGGTAACCTCTGCGCACCTCACTTCTTCAGAGGGTACATCGCCATGGTTACAGAGTCTGCAGACCTAACTTGCACTGGAGCAGATTATTTTTGAGAATAGAGTTCAGCGGGAGCATAACTATCACCTGTGGCCAATCAGATCTCTGGAAAACATCATTATTTCTGAAAACCCCCTCAGACCTCAGAATGCTGATGGTCAGAGAGTCTGAAGCTTTCCAAGTGAGCTTCAGCGACAGATTATTACAAACTTTTTTTAACCTGATCAGAAAACAGGGAATCTGTATTTCACTTTACTCTCACAGTATCAGACACCACCACAGCTGAAACAATCAGTCACACACATCTAACCATAAATTTACCGAATTAACAATTATAATCATCTAGTAATAATCATCATTATGCAAATATACTGTTTATAAGATTGGGGAAACCTGCAGTCAGCTGAGACTGAAGAAGTCACCTGGATGAGTGACGAAATGTTTCTCCCACTGAAAACGCTACGTCCAGATGAACAGAATCAACTTTTGGGGATTCCTGTCTGATCGGTTCAATGCAGATATTATACTTTGTTGTAACAGCATCAGTCTTTACATCCAATCTCAGTAGGTGGGGTCATCACCATGGAGACAGACTGGTCATCTTTCTTATGAAGTTTAAAGTCATATCTGAGGTCAAGTCCGGAACTGAAAATACAGTCATGCAGTAATAAGATGATAAACAATTACCAGATATCTCCAGCAGGGGGCGTGCAGAGCTGACAAACTACCACATAGCTTCCTCTCTTCAGTCGTTACACATGAGCTGAGGAACATTTGTGTCTGAGCAGCTTTCATAGTAAATGTAAATATTTTGGCCAGAGTAAAATAATCTGTTTTATCTGAAGTTTATGTCTTTAAGACATCCCTGCAGTTCAAGTCAACTGGTTGATTTGTGTTTTCTGACATCTATCTTTGTAGACAAACATAACACTTATTCCCTCACTCATAGCAGGTGCAATTCTGTCATATGTACTGTATGTAGTTTCATGAGCTCATAGAGTTACTTTCATTTACTTAACAGAGAGAAACTGTGACAGAAATGTCCTGAAACCTGAAAAGATTTTAAATTAAACCTGTTAAACTGCTAAAACTAAACTAAAGAGAAGAAGAAGAAAAACTATCTGGGATCCAATTTAGTTTTTGTTTCATCACTGCTGAGTCTTGTCCTGTGGAGGTGGCTCTTCTATGTTGTGCCATGCGCTTGTGAAGTGGCTGTTTGGTCTCTCCAATGTAGAGGTCTGGGCATTCCTCGCTTTGAGGATGCCAATGTTCACATTTTGGACAGAGAGGACAGATGGTTTGAAAGAGGAGTGAAAGAAGCCATCTATGTCCACTGTGAGCGACCATCTTTGAACAGAGGCGGGGGTTTACGACACCAACTCTCTGCCATCTATAATCCAGTTTTGAGATCCCTTCCCAGACGCCTTAACACCCACTCACATCCTGGGTCATCTGATCTCAGGAATTCGCATGATAAGGTGGGGCCAGGTTTCACAATGAACTCACCTGAAACTCTGGCTGATTGGGACCCACACCCAGTTTCACACCTTGGCTCAGGCGATTAGAGGATCATCAGGGGGTCCTATTGTCCCTCTGTGGGGGGAAACTCCCTCTAGGTTTAAATCTGGGACTCTCCACCATTTGACCTTAGAACTGAAGAAGCTTCTCGGATGAAACGTCTTCAAGCAACTTAAAGAAGTCCAGACGCTTTTCTTTGCAAGCTCCTTTGACTACAATGACCTGGATGACTGAGAACCTTCACTGACACTCTTTGATATGGTCTTTACATGACACAAAACAGACACAAACTGCAAGATGTTCCGTGTGCCCATCTCAGCCTCATCAGCCACAACAGAGTACGCCTTAGCTTCCTTCATCTCTTTAACTATATTTCCAGTTATTTCATGTTATCTGGTTATCATCTCATTTTGTGAAAAATGAGACAGATAGGTCGTATCTGAGACAGGACTGTGATTTTTCAAAAATGGATCAGTTTTTTTCTGCAGCTTCATGCACTCAAGAAAGTGATTATGACTGGTGGATTCCTGCTGATCATGGCCACAGAATGGTATTCCTTGTTTTCCAAGGAAACCTGTTACAGCTAATGTCAGAGATTTACAGTTAACAAACAGTCAGGTGAATAAACAACACCGAGACACTTGTGTAGGTTAACGTGCTGCACGGGTGAAAAGCTCAGAGCAAATCACACCGAACTGCAGTATTCGTTTATTTTTATAGGTTACATCGTCAATATGCAAATATAATCACATTTCCTGTTACGCAGGTCCTGATGCTGTCTGTGTGTAAGCTGTGTGTGTATGTGTGTGTCACAAAGTATGTGTGTTGCAAGTCAATTTCTAAGAATAATATAATGCAAGTCAGCTTCTGCGGATATGTATTTCTGTACTGGTCTCTTGTCAGTGTCACAGGGTCAGCTTCCTGTTTCTACAGAAAACTGTGTCTGGTGAAATATGTATAACATAACTTTTGAAGCATAAGCAAATAAAACAATAAAAACTCCCTAACAGCTAAGATCCAGTGGAGATACTGTCGTCTTGTTTGCTGATCTAAGTTGCTCAACAACATCACCTTGATTTTTTGTGGTTTTAAAGCTGTGCCAGCAGATCATAAAAGACGAATGGCTGGAACTCTTTTCGTGCTCCTTAAAGGCATCTAAAGCCCTCTTCCAGTTGCAGAACCCTGAATGACTGAGGCCATCTTTTTGTATTTTGCTTCTCACAAATGCAACATGAAAAACAGAAAGCAAAGTTCCACACAACAGAATACTCCAACCATTTCAACTTTTAAAACCAACTCTTACTGATTGACCTGCGAACTGGCTCAGTGGCTACTGTGGGAGGACATTTTGTCTTGGATTTAGGAACTCTCCTAAATCATCTCCTGCTGCTCCTTCTAGTAAACCCAGCTGTCCTTAACGATCCACCTGCTGCATCCTGCAGTTGTGTTTTGGCTTTCTCTCACTTTCCTGATTTCCCCTGACCAATCTGAAAGATCACTATTATTTAATGATCCCTCTGTGTTGGTCTTCATGAGTTTGTACCATATTATTTTCTAATTCTACCAAAGTACACTATTTAGATTCAGAACTATATACCTGTATCAACTATATAACTATAACTATGTAACTATTTAGCCTTGTTGTGCAAACAAGCCCGCATAACTTAATAAATATAGAATTTGAAAGTAAAAAATTGTATCTAAAAAGTTCCACTAGGTACTAGACACATGGGTCGTGTCCAAATTCATGGGCTGCATCCTCGGGTTGGGTCGGGTAGGCCGGAAGTAAACGGTCTAACCTTCTGATTAGCGTCACCGCTGTCTCGGTGGAGTTTAATAAACTCGGCCGTCTGCTTCTTGCTATCTAAAATATAACAGGACACTGGCGTAAATTCTCGACTGTCTCATACTTCTGTTTAATCAGTTTTCTGTTTGACGTTTAGTCAGCTGTGTGAAAACCAAGGAGGAACCCACCCGGGGGATTAATAAAGTTTTATTTTATCTAATCTAATAACTTTAATCTCAGCCAAACCGATTTACTCACGAACAAACAAAACACTGAAAAAAGCCCAACAATAACATTTTTAGGTTGTCTAAGTGACTTATATATTACGTTTAACCCGAGCAGCGAAAGTCCGCGGTGATCTGAAAATGATGTGCCGGGAGTTGTGCCGTTCTCGGCCGCATCAGTAACCCTCGAGCTCCCGGCTAGCTATCGAGCTGGTGGGTAGCAGACGCCTCCGAAAACGTCGAAGCACTTTTGCAAATATGGGATATCTTGATAAACCGAGCAGATATTTGATGTTTACACAACTACTTTCTCGCCTGAAAATATGTTAAAAGTTTATTTTGTGACCCAGAAAGATTAGTATGAGTAATTTTAAAACTTAGTAGCGGCCGCCATTGTTGGAAACTGGAGTTTGGCTGGGCCGCGCTATGAATTCTGGGATATGGTAGGCCACGAAGGACACACCCGACCCATCCTTCAAATTCGGGGAAAAGGAGGACGCATTTGTCGGCTGCATTCGGAGGAGTCTACGAATTTGGACAGCCTTCGGCGCGTCGCTGTGACGTAATCGGTCTACAAATGCGGCCTCAGGAGGATGCAGCCCATGAATTTGGACACGACCATGTTCTGATGAGTTTTGGCAAACAACCATTTGACCAACATGTCTGTCTCACCTGCTATTGTTCCATCTCTGTTCTGCTCCTCTCTCTCTCCCTCTTTGTGTTGACAATCAAGCCAAACACCAACATCATCAAATATACAGTTGAAACCAGATATTTATTACTCTTCAGATAAAAACACAAACACTTTTTTAATTGTAACATCAAATCAGACTAAATGTTTATTTTTTTAGATTGATAAATATAAAAAACATATTTGTTAACTTTAAGAGTAAAGAGAGAAACTATCTGTATTTCTTAATTGCAAATGGCACCAAATTGTATTCAAAATTGAGCCACACTTATGGAGCTCCACAGTTCTTTTCCTGGTGTTTTGGTTGACATCTCTTGATTTTCCCATGTCAAAGAAACAGGCTCTGTGTTTTGCCTTATATGCATCCACAGCTGTGCCACCAATTTACTCACATGGACTCTACTAACCTATCAGAAGCTTCTTCAGCTCAGAATGGAATCGTCTGGAGTTTTCTTATTAATTAACAATAAACTTAGTG